AAGACGGTAAAATAACTAGGGCAAGAAAGACACGGATACTATTTATGGCTGCTGTTGAAAAGCCCTCTCTGAAGAAGTATTCCTTTCAAGACACGTAGGTAACCGTGGTGATGGTGCTAAAATAAAACCCCATTCCTCTTCACTGGCCTATTTCTAAACAATGACACAAGGGTTCATACCTTCACATGGATTGAATGCTCCCTCTCTCTCCTCCTGCAATGTCAGTTTGTTTATTCTGAAAAACTGTCAGCATGCTGGTCTAGAGTTTTTTTTAATATGGTGCTCTTGAAACTGCGCTGTTTTAAATGTCAATTTACGGATGCGATCACTGGAAGTGTGCAAATACATATACTTGAATATAATCATAAATAGCATACTCTTGAGGGAATTTCTATGACTGCAAACAGATCCTATGCTTTCTTTTCCCCAATAGTGAGAACATATCTCAATACCTCGTTATATTTAATGTATTTGTGAAAACCTTTTTTGTAACTCCATTTCTTTGTTTTATTTTTTCCAAACTATTGCCTAACAATTTCCAAAAAGTTCCTTTGAATTTGTTTATTATTAGGGAACAAATATTCAGTGTTAAATGTATAAACTAGCGAACATTTATTTTTATAAAGAAAATTAACGATGAATTGATATTTACTTGAGTTTAAATACATTCCTATTTCTCCTCAAATTATTTGATCTTTTAAGAGAAAACTTCCTAGGAATGTATGGTCTGATAAAATAACCCTTCACACTAATTGTATTATCTAAACATTGCTGTGCTGTCTTTTTTGGTGACCAGATTAAAAAACTGAAACATTGACTTTCATTAAATGTATTATGTCAACACATTTGCCACAACTGGGATTGCTTTCCACTAACCCAATACACTTATGTGACATTTGTTGACATATTACATTTAATTAAAGTCAACGTTTCAGTGCAGCAAGACATGTGCAAGATATGCTGTCCTTCTCTGTCTTTGACTCTGACCATCCTTTCAGATTAAAAAGGACTTCTCTGTCTCGTGATGATGCGTGTGCCACAGTGCGGGGTTCTTACATCCAGAAGATACTCCTGCACTACTGCGTGGAGGATGATGGCGATGAAGAAATAGAAGAGGATGGTGGCGGAGTCCTTCCATCCGTAATGGTACAACGTCACCTCGCCCTCTGTGCACACAAAGAGGGTGTCGAACACACACACAAAGCAGATGATTGTAATCAGAGGTGTAGTAAACATCCTGGAGAGGTGTAGTAAACATCCTGGAGCAAGGCAAACCAAAGCTAAACTGTGAAATGTATGACAGGCAGAGGTGGAAGAAGTACTCAGATCTTGTACTCGAGTACAATTAGAAGTACCAGAGTGTAGGAATAGTCAAGTAAAAGTCCAGTGATCAAAATGTTACTCAAGTAAAAGTACAAAAGCATTAACAAATACTTAAAGTACCAAAAGTAAAAGTACTCATTATGCAGATTTGTCCATTTCAGAATAATATATATTATGTGTTTTGATTATAATTATTGATGCATGAATGTGTTATCAAAGCTGGTAAAGGTGCAGCTAGTTTTTATTATTCTGTCTACTGCAGGGTAGCTGTTGAATTGACTCCATGTGTAACTAAAGTCTTATTTAAGTGTTGATTTATATTTCACATTATTCATCCAAATCTATAAAGTAACTAAACCTATTAAATAAATGTAGTGGAGTAAAAGTACACAATTTACTTCTGAATTGTAGTGGAGTAGAAGTAGAAGGTAGCATAACAATTGAAATACTCAAGTACCTCAAAATTGTAGTTAAGTACAGTACTTCAGTGAATGTACTTAGTCACTTTACACCACTGGTGACATGTATGAGTTCAAAATTGTTAGATGAATCACAGACTGTGAATTAACAAGTATTTCATATAAAGATTCTAAACTTCATTACATACCTGGTGATAGTGTGGTGACATTGTACTGAGGCTGAATGAACAGTATGGCCGTCTTGGCTGTTGCCTGGAAAATTAGATGACATGGTAATCCACAACATATTTCAGTGAACCTCAAGAGGCCGGTCATCAAAGCATCATCAAAGTATGAATGTGTGTTTGTGGCAGGTGTGTCTGCTTGTGAGTGTGTAGTTGGAAAGAAGGCCAATGAGAATACAAGGTTTTAGGAAACTAGTGTTGACTTAGGAAGTGGAGTCGGTAACTGAGCATCCCAAATGGCATGAATCCACACAAAATGTTACCTTTTTAGCTTGTGTCCCCTTTAAACTAAGCTGTGTCTAGCTGCAGCCCCTTTTCTCAAGTGGTCTATGATGTGATGTTAGTTTAATGAAATGGCGATTTTCAGATATTAGATTGTTACATTTGAGTAACTTTGGTGAACACGGAGAGTTAAAACTATCTGACAGTTAGATGTAAAATATATTTCATGAATCTTTTGCATTGAATTGAAATGTGTAAAGTCTCTATAATGTCAACAAATTGAAGATTATCACATTTTACAAGCTAAAATCAAAACATTATTATTTGCATATTTTGCTATACAAGTAATTCAATTAGTGACAGTCTTCAGTTCACTAATCCATTATTTGAATTAAGGGTTTAACACTACATAGATCATAGAAATGTGTTGTAGAGCTTTTTCCTAACACATTAATCAACGTGTAAGCCTTCACATTTATTTTTAAAGCATTGCTGAGGTCCAATCAGGTTTGGGACATGATTTGTTCTTAAGCAAACACAACAGTCTTGGTTTAAAATGATTGAGTCATCCCCTGGCCCCAGATTGGGCACCACAGAGCTACAAGTCACCAGTCATTCCTTGCACACCGAGGCCACAGGTGACCTGTCATCGTCAAAATGTCAAATTCAAGACCAGCTGTACCACTGTACTGTAGTTCTCTTTTTTCCGAAACGAGAAAAATGAAGGAAATCCCCTACTTGTGTTTTACTCGACCAGCTGTGTGATCACTACCAGGGTTCCGGATTGAAACTTTGCTAAAAGCTCGGCCATGAAAGTTTGTTTGTGCGCACGTAGCAGAGGCTTTTAGTCAATAACACCTCATTAATACATTTAAGGTATGTCAAAGTGAAACCGCTTCAGGTCAAAGCAGTGTTTAGAGCGGCTGAGCCTACCTCAAAGATTGAGACGTGGCAGTTAACTACTACTATGAAGCTAGTGACGAAAAGTAGTAATGCTTCCGTCTGAGCTTTCAAAATAAAAGCCCATTCTATCAAACGTTCCATGATGCTTTTAATTTGAAAGCTGAAAACGCTTCACTTCCCGTCTTAACCGGATTTACTGTGCAGTTTAACATATCTTGGAATCAAAAATGTTGCAGCGGTCTACCTTTGCTGGAAACTGGGACAATACTTTGTCTAAAAAAGGGTAAAACATACATTTTAGGACACAAATAAGTAACATTATGTTGTTTACAAGTAGGCAAATATGCAATGGCAACATAAGAGTTGTTCAGTTGCCTCCCGGTTTTTAAAACCTCTTGGAATGACATTTAAGAGCAAGACACCAACGTTTTAAACGTTAAACCCGCAAAAAAACATGCGTTTTGCATTTAATACACTGTTGTTTCCAGCTGTAAAGTGCTTATTCAGTTTTCAATCATACGTTGCTTCTTGTATTACGAACAGAGTGACATTCCTTGTTCCCAAAACTTGTAAAAAAAAAAGAAAAAAACTACAGCAAGCAACCACCATAACGTTATCCGCGGAACTGATTCCACTGATAGAAGGGAAACAGGAACACACTTTTACAAACAAGATAACTTGTAAACAAATACGTTTTCACTTTGCACCGAGTTACATCTTTGAATGTGTAGCGGGCTTGCCATCATAAAACAGCTGAGAGACGATGGAAGAAAAGAGAATCTGAGTTCAACTCACCTCAAACATCAATCCAATCAAAATGAAAATCACCAAACTGAAGACGATGTCCGCATGGTTTTGAATTAAGAATTCTTGGCTGAAGAAAGGATAACTCTTGTTTCTTCGGCGAAATGCCATGTCAACCCAATGGTGTTTTCCCTGCTATTTTATAATTCAGAATGTTTTTCTGACTACGAACTGAGTTCAGGAGTTAACTTTCTCACTGATTTACGCATGCGCGACTTTCTTAAAGGGCGAGTGCCATAAATACCTTCTTGAGGCCATTCACACAATACGTTCAGTCTGTTGGTCCCCAGTGGTGGAAAGTACATTCACTCCAATACTGTACTTAGGTGGAATCTTGAGTCATTTAACTTGCTTCATGTCCATTATATCTACTTAATACTAAAGAATATTGTATTTTTTTTACTCCCAAACATATGTTTGAAAGCTGTATCTAAAAGTTACTATGCAGACTCCAATTATTAATACAACATACAGGTATATATCCACTTGTAAATTGGGATATAATATCATAGCAACCCAGCAATATATTAATAATTGAAATTGGCTATAACAGTGACGACATTAGAATAATGTCCACATTGATGTATCACTGATCATGATGACAACATTTACATTTGGCATTTGAAGTACATTTCGTTGCTACATCTTTTTTTACATTACTTATATTCATGAATTTTACTCATTGGTGCAATGTATTGAAGTACATTTACTCAAGTACAAAATATAAATAAACTAATACATAAACTACGATATACAATTATAGGTATCAATATTCATAATCCAGTCATTTTACATATATGATTCTGAAAGGGGACATTAGGCACAATAAGTACTTTAAGTATTTTGTTATGCAAATACCTCTGCCAATATTTCTGTAATTCTACTTAAGTAAAGTTTTGAATGCAGGACTTTTACTTGTAACATAGTATTTATACTTTTACTTAAGTAAAATATCTGAGTACTTCTTCCGCCACTGCTTTTACGTGTACTTCTACGCGTTAGTGTTGAGCCATGCCCTTTAAAAATGCTTAAAACATATGAAAAAGACGTGCATTGATATCATAAATATAAAAACACCAAGTTTAAAGAATGAGTAACACTTGTATTCCAGTCACCCAAATATGTAGGCTATTTATTGCTTATTTAAAGCCACCAGTGGCCTTGCACTTCACAGTTCAAAATGTCATATAGGCAGTCACCTGGGTGCACGAGAAAACCCAGCATCATTTCACTGCTTTGTGTGTGGATTTCATCCCTTTTACAGAGCAGAGTTGAGCAAAAATACGTTTGTGCCCTAGAAATAGCAACCGAGAGCACATATAAAAGTCACTACAAGAACCATTATTAGCATATTTCCATTTGTTACACAATATACTTTTAAAAGCTTTTAAAGTCAGTGCCTGAGACAAACTTTTCCCTCAACATAATGTAAATTAAAAATACATTTTTAGCAATTACATGGTCAACATGTAAATAAAGATAACACATCAAAACTGTTTTTGCAAGGTTGACAGACTAGCTCTGCTTAAAGCAATGCCAGTGACATGATTATACAAAAAATACAGTATATAACTTTCTGAGGAGATTTGCTCTTTTCTTATGGGAATAAAAAAAATCACAGCAATAGACATTATGATACAGAAGATACTTGTGCTTTTAAAAGGCCAACAAAACTCTGGCTTACACTGAGATGGTAAAGATTCAGAGGTCAGACACTCATGCCCCCTCTAGACAAACAAATAGTTTCTCTATTCTCATGACGGCTGGCAATTATTAACATGAATAACAGCAGTTTCGGTATGTAATATAGAGACCATCAATTGCCTGATATCATAAAACAGCTGCATATTTCTAATGACATTTATTGATATAACTCAGGGTTACTTCCTCAATATTTAATTTCAATCTGGCAGAAGCAGTGTTCACTTTGTTGTTGAGTTCAACTAAATGTAAAGGCTTAATTGGAACCAAAACAATAGAGAAAATGTTGAATCAGGTAGAAGCTGTCTGAGCCTCAAACACCACCTTTGTGACCAATTAGCTCTTTAATTATCATCTTCATGTCTAATGAAACACTGCTGAGGGTTTCACCTCTGTGTCCAGCATGTGGGCAAAGCACTGCTATTAAAAATAATTTATGATTTGAGAAGAGTATAGGCTAGCTTAGCATTATCCCCAAATTGTTGCATATACTGTGCCCAACACTTTACTTAATATAAGGACATCAAGAGGTGAATTTCTGCCAGCCTTCTCATCCTGCAGCTCTGAGCAGACTTGTTAAAGCAGCCTTCTAAAAATAAAAAGCTGGTGTACTCCTTTAGTGTTGGATAAGTTGCCGTTTCCCTTTTCCCTGATTATGTTTTGAGAAACCTAGAAGTTATCGTCTTCATCTCTTCGGGACATTATAAGCTGTCTCCTGGGACCCGTGAGATGAGGGACACTGTCCATCACTCCAGAGTCCAATTTAGGAGTGGAAGTACAGCGTGGCCCAACCCGTCCCATGAGCCCACGTACATCTCTGTGAAGGGCCGGATCGCTGGGGATGGAGGTGAGGCGGACCCTCTGTTCAAGACCCCCAATGTCCCGGTCCAAACGGAGGTTAGTGGCACTGCTGGGAGACTGAGGATCGGTGCTGAAATATAAGGTTGAACTCGACTCTGTGGGGCAGAAGTACGGCTCCGGACTGTCTCCGAACACAGACTTGCCCTCTGGCGAGCTCCGTTTGAAATCTGATGTGGGGGACTCCATCGGGCTCTCCATCTCCAGGCTGTCCTCCTCCTCTTCCTCCTCAGGTTCTTCAGTTGACGTGGGCTCGCTCACGCTCTGGAACTCGTCTTTGCAGTCCGAGAGAGGCGCCAGGCCTTTCCCCTGAGACTCAGAGGTGGAGACCCCCTCGCAGCTGCCAGCCCCTGTGATAGTCATGCCTTCGTTGCTCTTAAACTCTTGGTTGTACTCCTCCATGTCCAGTATGGCTGCTGCTCCGCCGGCCCCATACGCTCTGTTGACCTTCCCGAGGTCTCCTGTTTTTAGAGCCAGCCGAATGAGGAGCCAGTGGTGGTGGTAGCAGGGGCAGGAGCTGTTGGCCCGGCCCCTACAGGTTCCTGGGTGCTCCAGCAGACACCCGGCTACACCTGAGAGGGAGAAGCTGCCGTGGTTTTGATTAGAGGCATCTGGCAGGCTTTTACCCCTGAAAGAGAAGGAGGACTCCTCTCGTTCTATACAAGTGCTGCCCATGTGGTTGTGGTCCGTGCCCTGGGAGATCTCTGTTGACTTGGGGTGGAGGAACCGGTAGTATAGGACCAGAGAGGTAGCACCTGGGATGCAGGGCAAAGGAAACAGTTGGTTTTAGTACCCTAAGTATTACTGTTTATTTATCATGTTCAATTAATAAAAAATGACAACTTGCAATCAATATCTTTGTTAGTATTGCATGTCTTTGCTACGTTTTCCTACTTAGCGTTACTTCTAAACAATCTGAATCACCATTAGTGTTGCATTACTCAGATACCACAGAAATCATCAATCATCAGATGTTTTGACACTAGTCTAATTATAAACATCTGAGACAAAAGCGTTCCAAAACAGAGGAGGCGCAGACAGAGAGTGACTCACCGAGTAAGAAGCTACACAGCACAGTGGTGGGCAGGGTCAGGCTGTCCCATGATGCTTCGCTTAGGAAGTCGGAGGCGGCCAGCAGCAGAGTGGCGTTCTCTATGAACATGAACTGAAGGAGGAGAGAAGGTCACACCATCAGTCATCTGCAGACAGCTTTACGTCACTGTTAGCCATGCACGTAGCAGAGGTGAGAATGACAATGCAAACTATCGTCCTGTGTGTGTACATCTGTGTGTGTGTGTGCAGCTGCCCTGTGTGTAGGTCAATGAGGCAGTGCTGTAGGTGGAATATAAAGAGAAAGAGTCACGTCTTACTGCATAGAAACTGGCCATGCGGTAGCGGGAGGGTCCGTCTTTGACGTTGAGGAAGAGGAAGATGTGGACAATTCCCATAATGCCATTAAAGGCACGCCAACACCAGGGGCCGGTGCAAATGTCTGGTTGCTGTGATACCAGCCAGAAGGAGGCTGTGAGCCAGTGGAAACCTGGAGGTCAATGTAAAAATAGACAAGGAGATAAAAGGAAAATCCTAATGCAGAAGCAAGTAAAACCCTGGATTACAAGGACATGCTGCATCACTATAAAGATAATTACATAACTCCTTTACTTAAATGAATGAAAATCGCTTGTTAGGTTGGTCTTCTAGCAGTTTTTTGCGAGTGACTGTGTTCATAATTTATAATCATTTTATTGCACCCTTTCTCTTCCTTGCTGCTCACCTGCTACTCCGACGACCCACCAGTTAAAGACCCTGGCAAAGAGCATGAGGCAGGTCACCCTTGCACTGAGCATGCCTGCCCTCCACACCAGCTGGCAAAGCAGCGCTGCCGGAGGCATGGCCAGGTGGCCCGGTCGAATCAGGCAGCAGGCTCTGCTGTACAGCACCAGGGCCCAGGAAATAGACAGCAAACACAGACCACAGCAGTAGGCCACTGAAGGTAAAAACACAAGCAGATGAAACAACTACTTTCTACAATTGACATACAAGATGTAGATGAAACAACTCATGCTAAGATCAGTGTACCTGGGGACATGATGCCGACATCAGTGGACACAACCACATATGCCTGCAGAAGGCTCTGTGGAAGCGTGAGGACAAGGGCCTCCAGCAACCAAAGAGCAGAAACATCTGCCTGCTGCATGACAGAGGCTCCAAGCTCGGCCACTGAGCCTTGCATGCGCAACACAGACCTCATGCAGTCCCATAGCCTGCCAGAAGAGGGAGACAGAGACATAAACCACAGAAATGACACACAGTAACCTCCTCGTGAAGGTTTCAATGACAGAAAATATGTTCTGTGTACTTGGTTGGTTTGTTAACCTCTAGATGAAATCCTAACAGCATATTTGATAGATGCAGATTATTCTATATTTCGTTATTCAAAATATGAAGTGACAGATCTTACCTTTTGAAGATTCCCAAGTGCAGTATGTGTATGATTGAGAGGTAGCATCGCCTGTCATCACCATCGTCATAATACCACTTCATACTAAGCAGCTGAACTGCTGTCCCCGGTAGAAAGAGGCCCAGAGTGAGACCCGCCCACTGCGTCTCCTCATTCCAGAGGTAAAAACCTACACAATAGAACACTAACACATACAGACACACAGATGCAAGTTGTATAAGTATGTTTTGTTTCTATGTCACGTGAGATACATTTGATTTCAGTTGAGAATTCATATTAATAAGGCCTGTCTGATTTCAAAAGGAAATGCAGTTGAAACACAAACACATTCTTTATCTGAGGATGTGTTTGATATAACACATGTTGTTGCTGCATTAGCCATCAGAGTCCTTGAGAAATGAAAGAGCACATACACCTCGCTCAATTGAGTTATCCTTTCATTTAAGTGGAAGCTGTTCTAATGAGATGATAAGCTCCACCAAAAAAAGACCAGCGTCTAACTCCTGGCCTTATCACAGCCTGCAATTAGAGGTCTTTAATTACATAAGACCTCTTGTACTGTGATAACATCAGATCACTTTAACAAACTCATTTCCCTGTGTGATTCGAGTTTGGAGGCCAGGGAGCACCACATTATTTTTATCTTATGGGAATGGTACACCTTCTACAGGCAAAGTCACACTTTGTACAGACCCAGTCACCTCTTCTGGCTCTGCCCTGCCCTTGCCCCATTGATCTGCTTAGTCAGGGACTCACACCTGAGACTGCTGCACACTGTTTCCAATATAGAGTCCAGATGTGCTATCATTATAATACCTAAGTATTCCAAATAAAATTATAATTAGTATTTATTTTTACGATTTTAATAATATTTCTACTGGGATGGGTGCTACAGAAGTGTTCAAGGTGAGCATTATTCCATATGTATCCTTTTTTCTATGAAGGTTATCATTTAGTGAATGACCCCTGGAGGTCCTCTGGCCCCAGTTTGGCTACCAATGCCATTGTTACAAAGCTCAAAACTTGCTAGGTTTGCCTATTCAACAGTAACGCCTGCCATATAGCGTCACCGTTTGAATTGTGTTTCTGCTGCTGCTGGAAAGCTCCAGCACGAAGTACAATGGCTGAGCCGGTTTCATTCATTCCAGCTATCGACATTCCTCCACACCAAAACAACGTTGCCCTGCCATGTTTTCGTATGCAGTGTTAGCCCGCTCTAGCAGAATGATATGCCCACTTACGCGCGGTCCGTTCGGCCACGATAACCAGCGCCGACACGCCGAACAGCGCCGCCTGGCACCACGCTATCCAGCACGCGCTTCGCCGGACCACCGACGGCATCCTGCGGGCGACCGCCCCGGCAGCGTTAATCATGATATGGATAGGCGGGAGAGAGGATACTCGGGTGACATTATCCTGGGCATCCTTCGCCCTGGATACACGGGACACATCCGCTGATGCCTTCTTCTCCCGCTGCCTGCCTGCCTCCCGTCAAAAATACGTGACGTCACTGCGCGCTTTTAAAGGGGCCATCAGTTCACCGACCGCTGTGGCTTGTTGTTACTGTACACAGACCAGCTTCCCTTGAAACATTACCTCTACTAATATAAATCATGAATATTCTAATGTTTCATGGAGATTTGTCTTACTTATTCCCCATTAATGGTCTTATTGATCATAGTTTGGATTAACCCTGCAGGGTTCTGCATGGGTTTGCAAAGTTTCTGTGGAGTTATTTTTTCAGATAAATTACTATTTCTGATCTACATTGTTTTTCTAGCAGGGATGCAAAAGAGCTCCAGAGCAGCTGTTATGCATGATGTGACCTGATCAGGAGAGTAACACCAGCATTGAAGGTGCATGCTCTGTGCATTGTAGTTGATCTCATCATTAGATTGCCACTTTGAACAGTATGCCATCTGATAGCCTTTATAAAATGTAATGATTGGATCACAGAAAGCTTCTGCGCAGAAAGTTACAGATCATGTCAGGCCTTCTGCCCTGATGTGTTTTGATATGTGAAGCATGATTACATTTGTATCAGATATGTGGTTGGTATGGTTCCCTAACAGTAAGCTATAAAAGTGTTTCTCAGAAATAATCTAACAACTGTGTTATAAATATCTCGGAATAAACTGTAGAGTCATCTGTTTTTGGTTTAATGTCTGTGAAGTGATTAATACAGAAACTAAAATGTGGAAGTACGTGCTCAAAATAGTAGCATGATCTTATTGATATATAGTAAAGATCATTTTGTCGTTGTTGTTTTTATCCAGGGTAAAGGTTCGGCACTTACTGGTCCTGAGTGTCCAAAGACTCATAACAGGATGTGTATCTACGTCACCACATCAGCACGTACACACACAAAGGTAAGTATATATGTTAAATGAAACAAGTGAGGTTTCCTCTGCATTTTCACTGTAACGCTTAGCTCACTGACACTACATAGTCTTGTACGTACAGTAATTGTGTCCTTAGGAGGCTTGAACACGCACACAAACACGCAAGCAGAGACACAAATGATATAAATAGAAACAATACAGTGAACTACAACTTTGTTTATGCAAATATTTAGTCGTTCAATGAAGATACAAAAAAAGAATACAATACAAAAAAAATTCACAAATCATTCATACATTTTAGATTAATGTTAAAAACTGAATAAATTAACAAAGAAATATAAATCAGTCAGTGGTCCCAGGCCATGCTGGTAATGTCTTGATTCTCCACATGCTACAGCCTGTGTAGAGTATATATGCTGGGCAATCCAAGATTGAGATGAGGCTTTACTTCAAATAGGGCAGTAACAGACAGCTGCTGAGTTGACCTGTAAGGATTATACGGCTGGATTAGCAAGGCTGTTTTAGGGCTCTGATGGGCAGCCTGACTCCAGCTTGATACTGGTTGGATGCAGAGGTAGAGGGCTGCCATGATGTGGCAGAACTGCAGATTTGTACATGCTCAGCTCGGCCTCCTCCTCTTCGTGGTGGCCAGAGGTACGAGACTCCATCTTCTTTATCAAGTCAAAAACATTTCCCTTGTCCATCTCAGCATCTGCAGCCATGGCCTCAAGCTGCTCTGCCGCTTCGCTCATGTCAAACCTCTCAATCTCTGCGTTGACTCGGTGTAGCTCCTCCGGGGAGTGTCTGTGGGAGACCGAGGGGGAGAGAGGGCAGAAGCCTTGGAGGTGCACCTGCAGGCTGCAGTAGTGGAGATAGGCACAGGGGCAACAAGGACACCTGTGAGGTCGTTCACCAGTATGGAGCCGTTTGTGGAGCTTTAGGTGTACGTATTGAGTAAAGCGGGCCGGGCAGAGCTTGCACAGGTACGGCCTCTCACCTGAGTGTAGCCGCTGATGGGTCTTTAAGTTGCTTGTGCTACTGAATCGCTTATGGCACACCTGTGGACAAACAGAGAAAAGCAGAATAGGTTTCAAAATGTGTCCTAGTCATAGTTTTTGATACTGTAGTCTAAATATTGTGGATATTAAAGGGAAAGTTATACATCATTTGTTGTAAATGTGGCTTTCAAGGGGGGTTATGTAGTGAGCTGTTTAGGACTTTAGAGTAAGAAATAAACATTGTTAAAAGATAAAGTTATGTTTTACACTTACATTTTTTTACAGATTGAAGAAACTTCAAGATCAAACATATTAATTTGTGGTCTTTATGCAGGCAGACAGATTTTGTAACATATACAGAGATAAGCTTCTCCATGTTTCCTGTCTTTATGCTAATTGACTGCTGGCGCCAACTATTATTTACCGTACAGACATGAGACTGGTATACATCTTTCCCAAAATGTCAGTCTTTAATTTAAGATTTAATCATACCTTGCATTCATGAGGCTTCTCTCCAGTGTGAACCAGGTAGTGTTTCTGCAGGTGGGCCAGCTGTGTGAAGTTCTTATTGCAGGTCTGACACCTGAAGGGACGCTCCCCGCTGTGCACTCGCAGATGGACCTGAGGACACCATGTAAAAAAAGTAGTATTTACATTGATTTATTCTTTAAAGCTCAACAAACCAGGGTGGCTATTCCATTTTAGTATTCTATGGACACTTATAACGATGTGCAACTCAATTTTTAGCCACTTTGTGAAGGCATTTTTCCAAACTTACGAATATGACGAGTTACTAACCTTAAGGTTGGACAGCTGCCCAAAGATTTTTCCACAGATGTTGCAATCATACCGGATCTTTCCATTCTGCCTGGTGAGGGGATATGACAGCGTCTTGTAGCCGATAATATGTCCACCTCGTTTGATCTTCCTGAGGTCCATTGCATCCTCAGTTTGTCTCTGAGTGGCAGAGGTGGGTTTGGAAGGGAGGCAGTCTGAAAAGGCAGCCTTACCCACTGGTGGTGAACATCCTCCAGGCGCAAGAGATGGCAGTGCTCTGCGGAGGGAGGTGGCCATGGATGAGGCACTGGATGATGCAGGTAAACTGAGGTCTGCATGAACATTACTGCTTGTAGATTGTCTGAAATCTCTGAGGTCATCGGAAGGGCACCTGAGGTAGTTTGTCCATTCGGTTATGAGGTCCTTGTTGTCTCTGTGCTCACTGTTTTGTGAAAGAATGAGGTCTTGTTTGGTGTTGGATAGTGCAAGTGTCAAGTCTTTGTGTCCGTTAGCCAGAGAAGGGTGGATGTGTGCATAGCTGTCAAAAGGCAGCAAATGAGATGGGAAGTGATGTTTCATTTGGTCTCTGTAGAAGGGGAATGACTGAGGTAGAATGCTGTTAAGTCCGAGCGAGTAGTGAGGCAGTAGATAGGGGGAATGCCTCAGAGCAGGATGGACTCGATCAGGTACAGAGGGCTTTTGGTAAGGTTTGGCTGTAACAGGGCTTTGACTGTGCTGAAGGGTGAAGTGCAAACTGGAGGGACCGCTAAGAGCTGGTCTTTTTGCAGCTGGAGGGCTACAGGATGGCACAGGTGGTTGAGTCACATATCTTTGGCCATGGATGGATTCTGAGTGGGGCTGGGTCGGGTATACAACACGGGGACACAGGGGAAAAACTGCTGAGAGGTTGGTCTGAGACAAGGGGCTACTCAGACGTCTGGGGCAGGCAGGCAGGGACTTGGAAGGCTCGTCTCGAAGGATTTCAGAGACACTGTGTCCTCGTTTCAATGTTGTCTTCTCCTGAGCTTGACTTGGTTCTGTGGGACAGAAGAATTGAGAAACGGCATCAGAAACAGGTGAAATAATTTCTAGAAGTTCAGCAAGAGTAACCTCATTCAGCCCCCTGACATTAACTTGATAAATTACACAAGTTCCCATTGGTCTAAGTTTAAGTTTTAAGCTGTGTCCAGTGTTTTATAAGGTGTGTTTGCCTGTCTGTGAACTGTCTACCAGACTTGCCCTGGCACTCTATGAAAGTGGACACCCCATGTGAAACAATAGGCATCTGATCAGGATACAGATAGCATGGAGTTAGTGGGTACAGTATGTTATTTACATTAGTGCCGGCCAGTATTTTCCATCACAAGCAGGACAGAATACACACAAGAAACTCCCTTTTATCTGACTGATATACCAGATTTTCCCCAGACAAACATAATCCTAAAAATGCTTGAAAAGATACCCATCAAAACATAAACTGACTTATGAGTCATATTTATTTTCCCACTAAAGTCTAAACGGAAAATGAAAATCTAGATCTATATCTCTATTTTATCTGAATAAATCTTCCCAATTCCTACACGGGAAGTCACGAGGAGAGATTATGCTTGACTGACCTGCCCCAGATAAGACAAAGGGCACAAGCTGACAAACAGAGGAAGACAAAATACAGAAGTATGCATCCACATTTCACCTACCCTTGGACACAATTAACATCCACCCACGCAAACACAGAGCAACCCTTATCTACTGTGTGCTCCCCCGTGTTACCCTCCCCCCTCTCCCGAGAGGCCAGCTCTCAGCAAACAAATAGCCGACACTCAGTGAGATATCAATCTGTCAGCAGGTCGTCTTGTCAGGAAGTTCAAGTAGTCACTGGAGCGTTCCTACCCCTCTTCCTCCTTAAGAGCCAAATAAATAAGAGGAGTCGTGCCAGAATGCTGTCAGCACCTCAGGCAGCCTCTTGTGTGTGTGTCTGTGTGTAAATGAGTATTTTGCTGTGTGTATGTAGTCTCTCTGCTAGTATGTGCACTCTTTTTGTGTGTGTGAATATAAGCCACATGCTTTGTGTGTAAAAGAGCTGCCAGCTGTGTTTCTATGTGAAGTTAAAAAGGGAAACTGAAACATTACCTTAAGTCCTAAAATTCATCTTACACAGGTACTATGGCTATACCTGGAGACAGACCCTCTCTGCTTTCAGGACTCTACTGTCCTCCTTTGTGTCCTGCTTTAACAAAAGGACTGTGGGTGTGACTGAGTAACTTCTTAAACACAAAGAGTGTGTCAGTCGATCGAGCCCTTTGATTGGTAACCTTACTCCACAATAACAGATGTGTCTCAAAGCGTG